CCCCTCATTAATTCCGGAATACCTCCAGGATGGAACTTGGCATATGGCGTAATGTTGTACACTTTGCCGTTTAACGCCATCCAAGCATCCTTGCCCTTGCGACCCGTCTGTCTCCTCAACATGGACGGCGTAACGCGAAGATATGGAGTTGATGGCTCGACACCTCGCAGGTCAGCGTTAGGCCCGGAGATACGTGCCCAGTCCAAAGGCGAGTGGCCTGGGTCGAGCAGGACTTTGCGGCTAGGTTTTTGGGGCTTGCTTGAATGCGTCGGCGGGGGGGTGAGACCAGCGCCGGGGACAGATAGCCCTGGTGGTCCACGGTTTGGAACAGGTCCGCGGGCACGCTGGGCCGAGTTGGGAGCTGGGAATTGAGGCAGGGTTGGCATGCGTCCTGCGGACAGGCGTTCCGGCAAAGGAGGAGGAGGCATCATGCTCGACGAGAATTTGGGCGGTGTGGACGGTGTGGGCGACAACGAGAAGCTGAGTACTGGATCGGATGGCTTGGTTGCCATTGCTTTTGGCGTAGTTGAGCCTTCGGGCTCGTCGATCGTGGGCGTGGGAACTTGGATGACGGGTTGCGGAAGGGGAGGAGGCATCGCTGCGGCATCTTTCAATTGCTTTGACTCTGGGGGGTTCGTTTTCTTTGCAGTGTCGTTCAAAGAATGCAGAGGTTTCTCAATGGAAAGACCATTTTCCTGTATCCTCGGCGCCGTGTCATCCTGGATGTGCCGTTGTTTTGTTGAAGTGCCTGCAATTACCGCTCCAGAGGGGCGCCGTTGAAGTAGCCTGTCCAGCCAGCCTGGCGGTCGTATGATTACGTAGACGACGGAGGCGACTATGAGGGAGATACCGAGAGGACCCATAGTCAGTGGTCGCGATGGGCCGGGATCTCGTGCGGTCACGAAGGTAGTACTGGTGGTGGAAGTTTTGGTGGCATGGACGAAGTTGAAAGCTGCGCGACTTTGATGACAGATGTTGGAGTTATTACTGGCAAGTAGAAGAAGCATGTGCGTGGCCACCGGCAAGGGTCATCAACTAGTCTGGTGGCTCAGGGCGTAGCGGGACCGCTACGCTTTGAGTTTAGGGGCACGTGGAACCTGCTGGTCTCCCGCTGGTTCCAGAAGTCAAACATTGACAGAGATAACATGGAAACAGAGAGTAGAAGTTCAAATGTCTAAATGAGTCAGTTTACTCCAATGCCACAACCATCTTCCCTCCAGCCTCACCCTCCTCCATGACACGATGCACATCTTGAATCTCACTCTCCCCAAAGCCAAACAACTTCCACGGCCGGGCATCAAACCTGCCTTCAGCCGCCTTGTCGACAATCTCCCTCAGCGGAACATCCGACACGGGAAACTCGTCGGACCCAAACACAAAGCTTCCAAAAAAGCTGAAATGGACACCTCTAGCCATTTGCGGCAAAGGGATGAACCCAGGGTTCGGTCCAGGTCCCTGGATGGGATCAAGTCCGCCTAGCCAACCCGCGAGGCACAAACGGCCATCCCTCCTGACCAGTTTCAAGGACTCTACGGAGTTACCACGGTAGAATTCCCAAATACAGCGTCAAACTTGCCAGTAGTACCTTGCTCTTGAAGTCTATCTTCAAGATTTGCGCCTTCAAGAACGACATTCGTCACGCCGAGCCTCTTCAACTCGTCAATCTTGGATTCCGAGCGAGTGGTTCCTGTGACTGCTGCGCCCGCGTCAACAGCTAAGTTGGCCAAACGACGACGTAGCACCACGGATCAACAACCTCTAGCCGGCCTCCAGGTCCAAGTTGCGGAAGAGACACGTCCAGGTTGTTGCGTAGCTCTCTGGTAGCGCCGCAACGTCGGCCCACGGCAAGGGGAGCTTGTCACCGGGCGTGCTAAGGGAACAATGCTGTTTACGCTCGCGACGGTGTACAGTGGGTTGTACTCTGCCTAGCTACCTGGGATGGTGCGACCAAGGCCGCCCATTAGCGCAACGACTGGTGTCCCTACAGCCAGGGCAGGTCTCGATGGTGCCGTCACACTCTATGCCGCTGATGGGGACGGATTTGGCCCATTCGCCGCGGCGCATGTGCATCTCGGCGTGGTTGATGCCGAAGGCATGGATGCGGATGAGGGCGGTGTTTGGAGTAGGTGCTGGTTTGGGGGCCTCTTGACGAGAGTTTCGGGGGGCCCGAATGCTGAGATGACGATGACCTTTATGGACATGTTGTGTGCGGGGTTTGCGTGTATTGTATCCGCGAATTTAGTATGCCGGTTTAGCAGGTTCGTGTTTTTGAAGTGATGCTTCATATACTTGGTGGCTGTGATACATTTTGATACGGGATTGCTCAACGCTACGAATACCATCGCAACCTGGCCTTGCGTATACTACGAAAGTATGAATCGGCGTTACGAATTGCGAAACCAAGTGACGTCAAATTTCTTAGCCGTTTCAACTCTAAATTGACGCTTCAAAATTGTGTCTGACTTAGATGCCGAATCAAGAAGGCGATGTGGAATCGGTATCAATTGTGACGTTTGGACGGGCCGTGCTATTCGTGCTACCAACCCTAACTATTCGTGCTAATGCCCCACCTTAATTTTGGGCCTACACCCTGACCTACCACGCCCCGCCATATAATTTCACATACATTACCCTGGCAATAAGGGAGTTATCACGAAATATAATTCAAGACGCAACGACGACGAAGACTCATAATACGGTCGCGGGCGCGGTCAGGAAACGCTGCAGATCGCACACATACTCGATCAGCAGGTAGACAAGCCACGGAGCAAGCAGCAGTATCAGGGTCGCCGGAAATTGAGGAAATTATCCCTCAAACACAGCTGGAAGAGCCGCAGCTTCGATGGATAACCCCTTGGGAGCCCGGGCAGCGCCCACGGCGGTAGCGGAATAATTGACGGCCCGTGAATGTGTACACATTCATTAAAAACACCAGAAATCGCGTTTTCATGCCCTGCCGGTGCTCGCCTGAGCTCGTGTTATTAAAAAAATGATAGGTTTAAATTAAATTACCGATTGAATTTCTAAAAAGCGGGCATGACCATGTAGGTGTATGTGAAAATGTATGGTGGGGTGTGGGCGGGTAGCCACTAGGCCAAATCGAGCGGTAGTAGCACGAATAGCTAGGGTTGGTAGCACGAATAGCACGACCCGTTTGGATGGCGTTTATTCCCGCCATTTCCCCACTTGTCTTCGTTTGGCGCGCCACGGCATGGAATCAAGCAGCTGCCCATGAAACCTTGTGACTCAGCTCACTGCGAGAGCGAAGCTGTGGTTGTTTCTTTCTTTTCTTTTTTTATTCCGTGAATCAAGGATGAGGAATGTGTCATGAGTGATGAAAATTCAAATTCAATAGGCTCGCCAGAAATACAATACGTCACCTCTTTGACCAAATTATTGATTGCCTGTCGGATCTACTTTTTTTGAAGCACGAAGACGACGCAGGCCATAGAAAGGAATACCACTATTCTCTTAGCTGTTTTGGATGTGATCAGCGATATGAAACCATGGGGTAGGTTCGATTCGGGACTCGATATATGCGATGAACAATTTAAACACGCAAAACTTTGGAGAGTTGGTCTGATGGCATTAATGGTGGCTGAACTTTGCACTTGGGGGTGTGAACTTTGGGGGTGAATTTGAGTTATTTGACAACTAGTGACTCATGGTACGACTCACTTCCGCTGTTTGACCATGAGGGAACCTTGCCTTCTTGATGAGGACAAGCCCTCACATACATGCCACGCGTGGGATCGTGGGCAGGCTGGTTTCGTTGAGCTCCACGACGAGCCTCCCAGTTGGCTCGGCCCAAGGTTTATCTCATGTTTCTTTGCACTGCCTTTTCTGTCAAATCACATTGCTCTGAGTGGCTGTTGCAAGCATGCATGACAGAGGTCAACTGGTTCGCGTTTTGTGGACGCATAAAGCAAGTGGGCCCGTCATTTTTCAACTCGGTCCCCGTGTCACGTCTTATAGCCAAGTACTTCGCAGGGCATTACCAGTCGATGTTAGACTCGAGGTTCCCGGTACCCTCATGAGAGCGTCAGCCTGCGAGGCATTGGCCGCAATAGTGATGATTACTTCATTTACGTATTGAAGATCACCCCCCGACACAGTGCAAAGACAGGCGAGACATGAGTGATGCTTTTAATAGCTGTGGAATGTGAGGTGGGGCTTGAATCATTGAAGTGTGGAGGTGGCTAGGGCGCGTGTATGTACTACTACTAGTACAAACAAACATTGCCTTGAACAACACGTGCACAAGGCGAGTCGGGGTTTCAGTGGCATGACGTTTCCAAATAACAAAACATGGCACAGACGCACCTGGCAATGCCAGTCGGCTGTACAAAACTTTTATCAATACATGTAGAGCGCGATAGCCGGATTTCTGATCTGGTCAAATACTTTTTGCCTGCCACTGTACCTGCAACCCCACACATCTGCGAGTGTCATTTTTGCTACCAGCTTGGCCAAAATAAAGAGCCGGCGACGCACGGCGGATCTGCCAACATCATGTTTTGAAAAGTGCTAAAGTCGGAAGCGTGCGACGACCCCATAAGGCTTGTCGCTGGTTAGACCACAAATCGTTTACTCCGTACGGAGTGGTTGTTGGCTGATCGCCCCTTGACCCCAGTTCCCAAATAAGCGAATGAAAACATCTGAAATGGAAGTTTATGCACGATGCAAGTGATATGGCTGAGTCGATTCACGCCTTTTTTTTCTTTCTTTCTTCCTCTTCTGCTCCTCTTTCGCGCCTAGCTGAAGGCAATACGGAGTATAGGTTTGTCGATCCTTCCAAGTTCACTTTCTGACCTTGTTCATCAATTCGTCACATATCTGCACATGTCTGGCCCCGCCACGCTGGTCCGCCCCCTAATTCATAAAGTTGATGCATTTGCCGTCCATCAGCTCAGACGACACTTGTCCAACTTCACTTTCCCTCGTATCAGCCGGATGCAGCTGAGTCGTCGCTGTGTGCTTGCACCTTGACAGGCCAAGAAATGCGACGCCTCGACTTTGCTTCCGGCTGCCAAAACACCCAAGCCGAGACCAAAGACGCCGGTGCCGCAGCGTCGACACGCATCAGGCCGTCCAAGCCGTCCAAGCCGTCGAGATCGTCAATTGCATCTGCTCCCGCAGGCACGCCCACGCCCGCCCCCTCTACCCGCAACACAGCGACGACGACTCGCCGGATTGTCTCTGCCCCTTCCCCTTCCTCGCCATCACCCCGCCAGACTCCGACGCCGAAGCCCCGAGTGGCCGCTACAGTGTCGCCTACAGTGGCGCCAAGAGGGGTCCCGACGCAGCCGCACCTGCCATTGCTGTCACGCCACAGTGCCCGGCAAATGCCCAGGCTCCCCACTCCTGGGCTGGCCGCTAACACCACCAATTCCTCCACCACGCCGGCGCCAGCTGTTGCTGCTGTCATCGCTGCTACTGCCGATGCGTCCCGCGCGTCGTTGCGTTCGTCCTCTCAACACCACAAGCAACATGTCATTTCGCTAGCCGTGAAGACGCGCTCCCCTCCAGCGAGCCTTACTAAAATGCCTCCCGGCGAAAGGCCCCGACAGCCCCAGCTGAGTGCTGCTGCGGCAAGATCTATTAACCGAACCCCCCTGACTCCCAAGATTGCCGCCAAGAGACCTCCTGTGACCCCTCTGGCAAGACGGCCTCACTCCTCGACTCCGACGCTTGCCGGTTCTCAGAACCCGCGAGACGATGTTTCTACTCCCGTAGCTGCCTTTCTGGCTCATAATATTACCCCGCGCTCGGGTCCTAGGCAAAACCGCGTCGATAGTGCTAATTCCACCCCGAACGGTACCCCCAACCCCGAGAGAACGAGCGACAGTCTTGAAAACAATAACAACAGCAGCAACAACGCCAGCAGGCTTGGCCTGGGCATATCTCCGCCTGCAAATGACCTACATAGACAGGCGGCATCTCAGCTGGATCTTCCCAGTGACTCCAACGACTCCAGCAAGTTCTTCTATGCCAGCGACGCAAGATCCATCCAACAGGCAGGCTTGCAGAGACCGGGATCGGTTTCTCAGAAGTCTGCCAACACCTTCTTCTATGCCAATGGGACAACGGCCGATGGAGGCCGCAGCATTAGCCCGCCCTCTAATGCTACATCAATTTCTCTCGCGAGCCCAAATCCTGAATCTGCAGCAACTAAATTTTTCTACGCCAACGGAACCCCTGACATGCCCCCGAGGCCTGGTAAACTCCAGTCCACTTCGGAATCCATTGTATCTTCGAACTCTCGAATAGCTACCTCACGACCACCTACTAGCAATCCCAATGCTGCATTTAGCGTTCCGCCGACTCAGCGACCAGCGTCACCAATCAAGGCAGCATCAACTCCTATGACACAAACCTTGAGAAACAATGTCGCCTCGCCACCATCTCCGAAACGGACCTCCCTTGTATCATCCCCTCCGTCATTACCGCAGCAAACATCCTCCGCTTCTCGAAGAAGAGTAAGCATAGACACTGCGCCGAAGGAGATGGGCGGGCACAGGAGAACAGGAAGTGTTCCTGGTTTTGAGCCACGGACAGTTCCTCGGTTCAACTTGTCACCGAATCCCTCTGAGACAGCTTCGGTGTCCCCACCGTTGAGCCCGGGCTTCTCGCAGCCTGCCATGACAATGGCCTCTATTTTGCAGGTCGCCGATGAGCTGCAAGACGACACCGAATCAATAGAGGGGGATGCCCAATCTGATGTGCCCCCTCCGGTACCCCAGAGCCCTACGAAATCTGCACATTTTGGTGATTCTGTCAGCGAACTAGTAGCCAATGCACGCCGAGAACGCAAGGTCCAAGACCTAGAGATTACCAACGCATCGCTAGAGGCTATCAACAGGACACTAGAGCGGCAGCTTCGCAAACAAACCGCCGAACTGCGGCGCTATCGCCGTCTTTCTAGATCAGGAGCCCTGTCAGCAGCATCTAGCCGAGTGACTTCTCTCGCTCTAACCGAGCCACCTACAGATATGTCTGACGTGGAAGAAGAGGATGAGACGGAGTTGGAAGAGGATATGGATTCGGTTGACGACTCCGATCTGTCGAGCAATGAAACCATGAGCACAGAAGACATCATGTTGTCAAGTTCGAAGCTGGATGCTCGACGAAGACGGGATGAGAGGCGGCTTCACCTAGACCTCACCAAACACCAAGAACTGCTCATTGACAGCCAGAGGATGAACCAAAGTCTAAAACGGTGCCTCGACTTTACCGAGGCTCTGATTAAAGAGGGGCAAAAGGCGCTCCAATATAACGTGCGAGTGTCTGATATTCAGCTTGGCGGACGGGTGTTGGCACCATCCGATGACTATGAGGATGAGGTCTCATACCAGGAAGAAGACACGATACAGAGTGATGGCCACGGCCTGGAACCGCCTTGGCCAAAAGCTGCTCAGGATCGGGACAGCGGGATAGAGTTGCCAACAGACGGGGGCTAATATCCTAATTTGCCGCTTGTCGCGGCTAGACTGACAGGCGCAGCAGACGCTTGTAGCCACTTCCAACATGGACCATCACCACTCACCGAATACCTTCATTTTACTATTTTCTTTACCATCCAAAATCATGTTTTACAAAGACCTACTGCGCGCACACGGTCGCAGCAGACACCAGGGGGAAGCATACATCAAGCATACATGGCGTAAAAACTGGGTTCCACGGCGTTTCGAATATTTTGCATGCGCTTTCTTTCCCTGGCCTTTTTCATCATTCGCCTCAGATTGACAGCTCTTGATACACACACTTTATCCTACAACTTCACGCACGAACGCACGCATGCACCCATTCATCTCGAAAACACTGGATCGTGAAGCCTCGCCCATAACACTTGCGTCCTTGCTCACCGATACCCCCTCGCTGCTGCGATTCATCCATGTGTCCACTGAAGCTGGATTTATATCATTCTTGTCTAAATTATTCTGCCTTTTTTATTCCTTTTCTTTTGTCGCTTACAAGTTTTTGTTTCTTGTGTAAAATTCCCAGATACCCCAAATAAATAGATAGCATAGGAAAGGAAAGGGAGGTGGGATGAGCCAGAGACGGGGGAGCACTGTGCCTTTTCTTTTATTCGAGCCGGGATGATAATTGGGCTTATTTGATGTAGCGGATACAGGATAGAGGGGCGATCTAGCAAGCAGGATAGATGGCCAATTGATGATTTAAAACAGTATTTTTTTTTTTTTTTTCCTTTCCCTCCTGCCCTGTTCCCATGCTTTGTTTATCCCGTTTCGAGGTATATGTCAACTCTAAATGTTTCGAAAAAAGGCAAAAAGATGGCATTGGAAGAAAGAGAGATGTGAGGTGTACATTGCTTGACTCCTTGTCTTGGTCTAAAACACACCCCCATTTGCAATCGGTCTATACTCTGTCGGCCCATTCACACACACCTCGTCCACATGGCTATTCCGTCATCCCAGATTATACTTTCTGCCCTTGGTATCCATCGCTGATTTTTGTTCAAGCCCGACCCTTCATGGTAGTACTAAATAAACTTTAAGCCTTGGGAACATTCGGCGCATCGCCGGCAACTTCCCCGGCGTGGCGGTGATGTCTATCCTTCTTGTCCTTTTTCCGCTTATCCTCGTCCTTGTCCTTCTTCATAGCGGCCTCGGCCACGAGTTGCTCAAAGACGAGGTAGTCGCCTTCTTCTTCGGGGGATCTCTGGGCCTGCAACGCACAAAGGGGTCAGATATAGCTTTCTTCTGTTTTTTGGGGGGGGCCTGCATTCGCTACTGAAAGTACGGAAAAACAAAAACTATATATACATACCTTGAGGAATATATCGCCAATGAGGACGAGCGCCTGCGCACGTTCTAATCGCTTGGAAAGAGGAACCTTTTTGTTGTACAGCACACTGTCGCAGACTTCGCGCAGGACGCTCTGAATCTCAAACTTGCTGCCGCGCCATGCAGCGGTGAGGATCTTGCCGGTGACGCGGCGCTCGTACTCGACGCGCTTCTCCTCGGTCCAGTCCTCGCCGCCCTTGGCCTCCATCTTGGCCATGTCCTCGACGGTTTGCTGCGCGTCGAGGGCGCTGCTGATTGTGTTCCAGGTGTCCTTTACCAGGGTGCCCTTGTCCTTGAGGCGGCTGAAGAAGCCGCCTATGCCGAGGAATTTCTGGCTGCGCAGGAGCCCGGATGCTTTGGAGACGTACGTCTGGCCAATGGCGTGCAGGATGTCGATGCCGAACGATTCCATCTTGAGGTTTTCCACCTCGAGGCGCATCTTCTCCTGGAAAGCCCTGGTGACGTCGTCGCCCTTGTCGGTCTCGGTCCACACGCTCAAGCGGTCGAGCAGCTTTTCTGCTAGTGTGTCGACTCGCTTCTGGCGGATGGCAGCGCGCTCCTTTTCGTAGGCGGCGAGCTGCTCGCGCTGCTCCTTGGTGAGGCCGCCCTTTTTCTTCTCCTTTTGGCGGAGCTCCTCCTCGGCGGCCTGGATGGACGCTTCGTCGTGGGGTCTGTCGCTGAGCGCGGGTCGGAGGGGGATTTGCGTTCGGTTGCGTGAGGAAGAGGACGGCGCGGGAGAGGTGGCATCTGATCGGGGGGGAGGCGTAGGTCCGGCTGCAGTCGCGGGGTGAGCAGTGCCGCTGGGCTTTTCCTCCTCAACGACGACGGTTGGCGGTGGAGGGGCGCTGGGAGCGCCGTGAGCTCCGGCGGCAGCAGCGGCAGCTTCCTTTTCTGCGAACTCCTGTGCGCTCTGCCTCTTGGCCTCTTCGGTGCCAGGGAATTCAACGTTCGCTGGGGTCTCTGACTGGTCCTCGCCTTCGGCCATGGCGATGTCCATGGTGGCCGTGAGGTCCTTCATCAGGCTTATCTCGCCGATCCAGTCCTCGAAGGCCTCGCCGCCGAAGATGGACGTGAAGAACTCGGCTGGATCAGTGAAGCCTTCCTGCGGCTTCGCATGATCCTTGCCGAACTTGTCGTATGCTTTGCGGAGCTCTGTGTCGGAAAGGACTTGGTAGGCTTCGCCGATTTCTTGAAATTTTTCGTGGGCGGCGGGATCATTGGGATTCTTGTCTGCAGCGGGTTAGCCGATTGAGATGGGATTGGGCGCCGAAGAGACGGAGTGACGCCGAGAAGTTGGTGCCTCTCGTGATATACGCCCACATGCACATGGCGGGAAGGGCGACTTTACCTGGATGGTGCACAATAGCTAGCTTGCGGTAGGCCTTCTTGATCTGAAGCTCGGTGGCCGTAGGCTGCACACCCAGGGTATCGTAATAGGCGGTGTCGACGACCATGGTGGGCGAAATGGGACGAAAAGCCGCCAACTACCCGAGGAGAGAGAATTCAGGGGAAGGTACGTACGTAGTTGCAAGGTCCACGTGGAAGGGGGAGCGTGAAGAAGAAGAAAAGGACAACGCTTTCGCCGGTGGCGCGTGTCGCAGATGTAACGAGGAAATTTTGGCCCAGGAGGCGAGATGACGAAGTGAGCGACATGTTCAGATGTTTGCTTGGCGCCTCCGGCGGTGTTGGCGCCACCAAATGAGCCGAAGCTGCTGCCGCTACGTAATGGCGGGGCAGTGCCGAACTTTTTCTCCCCTGCAGAGAGCATGCACCAGACGCCTCGTCCCAAGCCGGTCGACGTGAACCCGAGACATCAATGTGCTCCCGCCACGAGCTTGGTCTTTTAATGTTCCGTGTGGACGCGTTTCTTTCTACTGTGCATCATGTGTTCCGGACCCTTCAGCCAACAATCAGTAGCAGCATATACTATGGTATATTACAGTACGGAGAGCGATAGCCAGGTCCCTGCGTTAGTGAAATACTTTTTGCCTCCCACTGCAGTACTAACATGCCTCTGACATCGAATCTCTAGAGAACACCAACAAATATACTGTCAAGTTGTATGCGCTCATACTTGCTGCTAACGATCCACCATTCGATATGCGGGCGCCGTACCACGTTCAGAGCACGTGGTTCCATTATGAACCTCCAGCAGCACTACCACAATCGTCCGCGAAATCTCCAGTGGGGTGATCATTGATGACGGCGATATCATGCTCAGCCTCTGTTGAATCTCAGCCACGGCTTCTTCATCAAGCGACGCATTTCCCACTTGTCCATCGTCAAAATGCTGCCAAAGCCAAAGCTGATCGCTTATTTCAGGATAGTTTGTAGACTTGGACGTGCACCCGCGTTCACGAGTCAAGGGCAGCTGCCTTTCGTATCTATCCCGGTAAATGCAAAAGCATTTCATTGCGTGGCACGGATCATATCGTGGCCGGTTCAGCTTCGTTGCATGTATCGGTAGCGGACATTGTACATCTCCATCTGACAGAAAAAACGCAACCACGCTCTCGAATTGTTCGTAGAAGCGACTCGTGAAAGTATACACTTTTATACTTGCGCAATAGTTAGATGCCACGCTAAGCCCTGCATGTGGACAAATTTAGGAAATTGGAATGGCCTACCTCGCCATTGATATGGCTTCTGTCAAAGAGGACAACGCCTCCAAATATTTTTGCCTCGGCCCAATATCCCACTATATCTGCTATTCCATATGGATATTGTTGATGCATGAGGTATGACTCGTGATAGAAGGGGACAGGGGGCTCTTTAGGGATAAACTGATATTTATCAGATCCCTTGGCTTCGAGTTTGTCTTCTTTCGATAACCCCTCTTCGTACTCTCCCTTGTGGTGAGTCTGTTCATTTTGGAAGAGATAGACTGCAATTTGGTGGCATGCTACAGCTACGAGCTCTATCAAAGCAATTTCACAGGCTTGGATTCCTAGTTCTGAATTTTGAAACGAGTCGAGAGCCTGGGTAAGCATTTTCTGTGTTAGCCTCTTGCTACTTTTGGACGAAGACTAATATGTACATACGTGAGCCTCAAATGTAAGCGAATCCAAGCTAAATTTGCTTCGGAATGCACGAGTCTTTTCTACAATCCCGTCACACATACTTGGGTGTAGCTGTGCTGGATGGTCGGTTGGTCCAAACAAAGAGTGAAAGCGCCGTAAAATGATTCGGTTGTTGGAAGCCCGTCGACTATCTGGGTGTATGTCATTTCGGCCAGATCGGCTCCAAGTATGTTGAGTACAGCTCGCTGAAGAATCTCCAGATGACTTGGATCCAGGTTCTGGTCGTCTCGATTGCTGTGATTTTAGGTTGGAGAAGAGGCTCTAGAGGAATCGGGCAGTCTTGTAGAGCGCGCATTTCCTTGAGTAACTATTCTTTAGCTTTCCAGGGAACGGGGAAAAGCAACATGGCGTAATTTCGAACTCCGCAATGTTTGTAGTCACGGCTGAAGACGAAACGAGGACCAACGTGTGCCAGTGTTTATTTCAGGATTTTCAAACACCGTTGGTAGGGGATGTCTGGTTCCAAGCGCCAATTTCTACACAGATGGCAGGGATTCTTGTTCATGTGTGCTTGTGCCACTGCCCATGAGTTCGCCCATTTGTCTGTTTGCGACCCGAGTTTGGCCATACACCTCCCCGTGTTGTCCACCTGAACTACAATCAGGCTGTTGTGGTCAGGGAACAGAGAGTAGTAGTAGTGGGAGAAAGCGGCCGTTGGCTCGAGCAGCCTTGTTCGGAGGCTCGTTGGAGTATTTCCGCGATGTGAACCTGGGGCCCGACCAGGCAAGTGAAGTCACCTTGAACACGAAACATTCTGCTAACACGAGTCCCAAGACGGGGCTTGCATACTTGACATTTTGGATGGATGCCCATACTGTGGCATACGAAGTGCCATTAACCGCAATCAAGCACCTCGTGAAGAACCCCCGCTGTAAGCTACAGACTGTCACCGGTACTGAACATCTACACCCGTAGCGATAGGTACACTTTCATCTATAATAAACTATATTTTCCCGTTAGGGGGTGTCCCAAACCGGTTTGAGCAGAGAGCAAGTCTTGCGAATGGGCCTGCGAAGCATGGCTCCGGTTAGGCAAATGCCAATCACGTCACATAACGTGAGAGGGATGCCGTCATTGGATACATTCTCTATTGGATTGATCGTCTTCATCAACGCACAAGCAGTCCAACTTTGAAGCTGGTCACCAATTCATCGTCGCGTTCCGCTTCTCCTGACCCAACTTCTAACATGTGGAGTATAAGGTCTCGCTTGTCATCCAATTCCGGGTAATCATTCGACGAGAATACTTCTCTCCTCCAAAAAATCGGACCGGGTCTGGGCTTGTTATCCATCACTCGTAAAGCTGAAGCCCCTGACTTACGAGGATGGCTCTTGAGACTTGAAGATACATGGCACAATCAAGACCATTGCCGAACTCCCTGCCATAGCTGTCGGGATGTAGGGAAAATTACAAATACATGGTAATAAAGGTTTCTTATTTCGGCATACTATCAGATTCAAACCTACCTAGTTAGTAAGTGGACTGTACCAAAAAACACCAGTCGTCCAATCCGATGGAGAAATAACTTACTAAACCAAGGATATGCAAATGCCACTTGCTACCTATCTAGGTACCCAGGTAGTATTTACTAACTCGGTCGACGGTCGACAAGTCGACATTAGGCTCATTTTGGGAACATTGAGCGGCTGAACAAGCGACAAGCGACAAGCTCTGCACTAGTACTCCCCAGCAGTGGAGCAGTTACACTTGACAGTTGCCGCGTTACCCCCATGTCAACTGTCACAGGTCTTGCCAGCTGCACTACTAAAAGTGGAGAACTCTCCTGGTAGTGCATGGCTTTGAGTGCACCCACCTTTTCCGCAATACCTAATGGGTACCTTAGGTATCTTTTGAGCACTAAGGTTAACTGCGGCTGTGATATAGCCTTTATACTTAACTTGGGAAATAGCAGGACTTTTATTATCATATTATTTCTTAGTGAATTAACGTACCTTTTAATATTAGATTTTTGATTGGTTAGAACCTAAATTCGGTACCTCCAACGCACCTCCGCGCACTCAAAGGTTATCACATCAACCATGTCCTCAGATTAGAGGTGCGACGCCACAAAGTGCCATTCCACCAAACATGTGTACGGCATTGCACACTATCCATTACTGGGTGCGTCGAACTATGCAGCCCCTGTTCCTGGTGTTTCACGAAATAGCAGGCATCACAGGTATCACGAGGTTGACTTGTTGGACAGCTGCTCAATCTTGGGACACCCTTGCATCTATTCTTTTTGTTGGCTTACATGCAGGTTGTGGATACATGAGCATATTACGGAGTACGATATCTCGCGTGACACGCAGCCTGTTCACGCACGCCCCCGAAGCTGGACGCCACGTTTGGACAAAAGTACGGGAGTCGTTGCCTACCAGGTTGTCGATGTTATTGTTTGCGCTCGTCTTTGATTCACCGCCCCAGATCTCCCCCTTCAAGCCTCCACAAGCCCAAGCCTCTGGGTGCTTGGCAACTTGGCTCACCGTGGTGGCACCATCACATGGGACAATACTACACTGTGCTCCGTTACAGAGGCATACGGGGCAGAACGACGAGGCTGGGCTGCTCAATTCTGTACCCGTTTGGCGTTTGGCGTTGCCTGTTGGCTGACTCGGAGTGGATTGTGAGATTTTAAAGGGCTTGTACGGAGTAGTTCTTGCGGCGGCGGGTTGTGGGCTCCTTCCCCATGGGCTCCTCCTCAGATCTCTCGAGCTGACACGGTGACACCTGCTTAAATACCTACCTTTGCCCTCTTCGCTCCCCCCCCAGGCATGGTCAGCCAGGCTAGACTGATGCTTTCCGTCACTCTGCCCGGCTTGCCATCCAGGTGAAATAGTCGACTCAGGTCGTCGTTTGGTTTTGAGAAGCTCCCGCGCTCCTGCTGCAGGTTTGCAGCGCTACGCCAACCATCATGTCGGCCATCTCATCAATTGTCTCGGCCGCTACCGCGACGCTGTCTTCGCCCACAGCTACCTCCACCCTTCGCGCATCAAATCAAGGTGGTATTATCGATGGAGCAAACCCCACGAAATACAACCCCAAGGACCCTATCATCCTGTTCATTATCCAGGTTCGTGGCTGCATCTCTGCAATCGACATGTTTCCCCTCAACTGATGACTGACATGGCATTAGGCGGTGCTCATCGTCACCGTGTGTCATCTCCTGCATTGGCCGTTGTCAAAGATTCGACAGCCTCGGGTCATCGCCGAAGTTGTCGGTGGAATTATTCTCGGTCCCTCGGTCATGGGACGTATCCCTGGCTTTCGACAGGCCATCTTTCCCGACGCTTCGTTGCCCAATCTTTCCAATGTCGCAAACCTAGGATTGATTTTGTACTTGTTCCTCATTGGACTTGAAACCGACGTCCGATTTTTGATTAGCAATTGGCGAATTGCAACCTCTGTTGCCGTTGCAGGGCTGGCTCTTCCTTTTGGCGTTGGCTGTGCGTTGGCATATGGTGTGTACCACGCATTCCGCAGTGACGAGGGACTGGTCCCAATCAAATTTGAGGTCTACATGCTCTTCATTGGTATTGCAGTTGCAATCACGGTACGTCTCCGCATAAACCCTCCTGTTGGTATTGGTGCCCTTTTCCCGCCTTGCTGACCTGTGCACCGCGCTCAAGGCCTTCCCGGTCCTGTGTCGTATCTTGACGGAGCTCAAGCTTCTTGATACCAACGTCGGCGTCATCACCCTCTCTGCTGGTGTTGCAAATGATGTCGTCGGTGAGCTTTGCCAAACCACCCTCTTTCCGGCCGACATAGGAGCTAATTACAATGGACAGGGTGGATTCTCCTTGCCCTGTGTGTGGCGCTTGTAAATGCTGGTTCAGGCCTGAACTCGCTTTGGATCCTACTTTCTGCCACTGGGTTTATGCTTCTCCTCCTGGTCGTCGTGAAACCGTCTCTTTTGTGGCTGTTGCGCCGCAATGGAAGCCTCGAACATGGCCCATCGCAGAGCATCATCTCGCTCATTCTTCTGATTGCCCTGATCTCCGCCTTCTTCACGGGCATCATTGGTATTCACCCCATTTTCGGCGGCTTCATGGCCGGACTCATCATTCCTCGCCAGGATCGATTCAATATTCGTGTTACGGAAAAGCTCGAGGATCTTATTGGTGCTTTGTTCTTGCCCCTCTACTTCACCCTCTCCGGTTTGAATACGAATCTGGGACTGCTCGACTCCGGAACTGCCTGGGGATACATATTCGCTACCACCTTTGCAGCTTTCTTTTCCAAAATCATCGGCGCGTCCGTGGCAGCTCGATTTAGTGGATTAGTTTGGAGAGAATCGTTTTCCATTGGTGTCCTAATGAGCTGCAAGGGTCTTGTTGAACTCATCGTGCTGGTCAGTCTTGCTCTTCATGATAAAATTGCTCAAGTCATACGTTGACCACTGACGCCGACATGTTTTGTCTAGAATATTGGCTTACAAGCCAACATTTTGAGTACCAGAACATTCACCATCTTTGTCGTCATGGCTCTTCTCACCACGTTTGCTACGACGCCGATAGTGACCGTGCTATATCCTCCTTGGTATCAGCGGAAGATTGCCGCATGGAGACGGGGGGAAATCGACTGGGACACTGGTGCTCCCATTTCCTCCCCGTCCAGCTCCCAAGGTCCCAAGGAGGACGACTCTCTTGGCCTCGAAAGAGTGAACCGCTTACTCGTCTACCTTCGTCTCGACAACATGCCTTCTCTTCTGCGCCTTCTTTCCATGTTTGGCGACCCCTCCACACCGAGCAGCACTCCCACGCCTTCAGATACAGGGACTGATGAGATTCGCGACATTTCTGCTACACCCCCTTCCCGGGGCAGGGCTGTCTGGGCTCATGGTATCCGTCTCCTCCAGCTTACCGATCGTGACTCTTCCGTAATGACAGTCGCCCAAGTTGACGATTTTAGCCGCCATGACCCCGTAGTTAACACCTTCCGGACCGTTGGACAGCTGCACAACCTCTCAGCATCTGGCGAAGTCGCCATCATGCCTGAAACCCGATTTGCTGAAGCTCTTGTCGCCAAATCATACAAGATGGCTTCAGATCTCCTTCTTGTTCCTTGGACCGAAACTGGGGACATGGGCGATTCACAAATTTTATCATCTACCAGCGTCAACGACAAGATTGGGTCCTCGTACGGA